GCAGTAGTGTTAACATGAACCAACGCAATTCAAGTTTAGTGCTATTAGGAAAACAGTTTTTCATTTTTGTGAGTTACATATGGAAACAAAAACCTATCAAAACTAAAAATCCTACTTTCACTAAATTCACATTTTTGAGGGAAAAAAGTCTTTATCATTTTGAGGGGAAAAAAGTCTTTATAGTTGACTTCAACTAGCCCTACATTTTTTTTATTCCCCCTTAAAAACAGTAACTGTGAGGCCCACAAAGATTAATTTAAAGAAATTTCAGTCAGGGATTATGCCTCACCCAAAGCCAAATAAACTAAATCTGGCATCAAATATGGAATTAAGTTCAATGTGATCATCCTTTACTACTAACTGTCTCAATTGACCTCGGGTTCCCTCCTCCCCAAACACCTCTTTTGAATCTTATAGGGTCTCAAGGGAGACACCCTGGAAATAGTGCCCCGCAGTGTGAATGGCCTGCTTGGAGTAATCAATTCTTTTATCTTTATCTAAGAGAATGGAAAGGGTGCTCTGGTGGTGGTGCAGTGGTTAAGGCATCTGGCTGCTAAGCAAAACCAGTGGTCTGAACCCACCAGCTGCTGGTGGAAGAAAGATGAGGCAGTCTGCTTCTTTTAAATGGGGGTCCGCTATGAGTTGGAATCGACTGATGGCAATTTTTTTTGTTTTTCTTTTTAAGATGATGGAAAGCTAAGTCATCAGCAGACAGAGAGCTTCAGGTCTAAAGTAAAAGGTGCTTCAAAAAACAGCTGTGGTGAAAGTTCAAAAAAAGTAAAAGACAACAAGGTTAGACCTACATGAATTATTTCCAAATACAGAAAACAAGGCATCGTAATACTTTAAATATGTTGATTTTCATGCTCTATTACACATTTAATAGTAAGCCAGCTGCTATTTTACTGCCTTCTTAGACTCTGACTGTAAAAACCCTATGTGCAATTCTACTTTGTCATATAGGTTGCTGAGTCGGAATAGACTCCAAGGCACAGAAATACAATACCCCCATTTCTCAGATGAGAGATCTGAGATACCAAGAGCTTAAAGGGTCCCTAAGGTACAAAGCGGGAGCTCTGGTAGCGTAGTGCCTAAGCACTTGACTGCTAACCAGAAGGTTGGCGGTTCAAACCCACCAGCCACTCCTCGGAAGGAAGATGGGGCAATCTACTTCTGTAGTGATACTGCTTCGGAAACCCAAGGGAGGGGTCGCTATGAGTGCGTCCGACTCAACGGCACATAACAACAACAAGAAGGTACAAAGCAGGGGTGCTCACATTTGAACCCTCTAAATCTGGCTTTAGAGTCTCTCTGTCCTTGTGAATAAAAACAGGTACTTCTGTGGAAACCCAGAAAAAATCCTAGTATGAGAAATTTGTTAAGACACTTAACTCTCCTGGTAGGCTTTCAAGGTAGGTTTATCTAATCTTCCTGAGCCTGTTTCCTCCGGAGAGAAACAGAATTAAGTAATATCTACCCAGGTGGCGGAGTAAGGCATTTGACTGCTAAGCAGCGGCTGGCGGTTCAAACCCCCCAGCCACTCCTCGGAAGGTAGGTTGAGGAATCTACTTCCGTAGTGACATCGCCTCGGAAACCCAAGGATGGGGTCACTATGAGTCGGATCCCACTCCACGACAATGAGTTTGGTTTTTGGAGAGAAGTACTTCGAAAGACAGGCCTGGCAATATGCGTTCCAAAGATCAAGCCTTGAAAATCCTATGGAGCAGTTCTACTCTGCACATGTCGGGTCACGGTGAATTGGAATCGACTCCATGGCAACTACCAACAAAATCCAGCCTAACTCACAGGGCTTCTAAGTTACATTTGCACCTTCCCACCTTGTACTTTGCAGGTTTTATGTCACTTAGGTGGTGGGTAATGTCGTTCAATGAAATGAGGTCAAGTGGGCTGGGGAAGCGCTCTGAATAACGCAGAACACCGCGCAAATTGTACTGTTTTAACTGCGTTATCAACACTGAAGTCCCGATGCCTCGCCACGAGCCTGACATCCTCGCTCAGAAAGGGCATTTTCAGGGACCCTAAGCCCCATTCCCTGCCCCCGCGCGGCGACCGACCACTCCCTGCAGGCTGAGAACTCATTTATAGAGCGAACAGGATATACCCAAGCTCCCTGCCCGAAACGTTGCAGGACCACGGCCAATAGAAGGGTTGGCGTTTATGCTCAAGGGACAACTTACGGGTAAAAACTCAGCTTCCGGTCTTTATTGTTCCGTCCCCGGCGGTTCTTACAGCAAATTGCTGCACAGTAGCGGGGCATCGCGTGCGTGACTTTACCGGGGACCAGAGCCCCGCAAAGGGTTCAGGTGGGCCTTACTTGCCCACACCGCCCGAGCCACTACGCCTGCGCTGGCACAGGCCGAGGGCAAAGATGTCGCAACCATCGACTCACTTCCGCCTCTGATGGGCACAGCCCCGCCCCTTCGGGGGCTGGGGGCGGAAGTGACGCACAGGCTGAGCGGCAACAACAGTTTTCCACGTGCGCGTAGGGCCTCAGAGTCAGGTGGGAAGTCGGAGCCAATGGGGAAGCGTTTCGTGTAGGTCTTCTTAGGTGGCTGCATCAGCAGTAAACGCCCGCCAGTGGAGAGCGGGCATAGGGGACGCGGAGGTGGTGGCGGCCGGAGCGAGCGCGAGGTCGCTGTGCAAGCGGCAGTGGGGGGCGCGCCGGCTGTTGGGGAAAGGGCCCTGTACCAAGCAGCCGCGCGGAAACCATCGTCAGTTCGCCAGCGCCTCAGCTCTGTGGAGCAGCAGCAGCCGAAGGGTGCGGGTGAGGGATGAGGCCGGGTCGCGGGAGGGCTTTTGGATCGTTCCTGGGGCCCGGACCGGTCTTTGTGGGCAGGTTTGGCCTCGGCGTCCAACTCAGTCGCCCCAAGGCTTCGGGCTTTTTGGTGTTCTTGTCGAAGGGAGTAGGATCAAGAAGATGGCTGAACCCAGAATAGTGCACTTAGAGTTTGGGGGGCTGCCGTTGGTTTTCTCGGGCGTCGGACATCCTTCCCGCTTACAGACCTGGGCCTGGGTGGGCTTCGCGTGAGCTAGTCGCCTGTAGGTAAAGATTGGACGACTGTTAAAGCCCGCCGGCCACCGGCGCCAGGGAGTAAGGCCCAGGCTGCTGTCGGGCGGGTCCTTCTTGGAGACCAGAAGTCAGTAAAATACCGAAGTTAGGCTACTTAGAAATGTTGAGTTTGGAACAGTGGAACCTCCTTTTAGGGTGTGGATGTGGCGTCCACAGGACACACTTGGGTTGTGTTCTCTTAAACCAAGTTGAACTTGGTCCTTGGTACCCGTGACTGTGACTCTCTGGGAAGAAGTAATCCACCTGCTAATTACGCGCAGGAAAGGCCACAGGAGAGGAAGGCAGGCAGTTTCCACAAACCATAGTGTCTTTTCGTCAGCCTTGTTATTATGTCATCATCGTTATTAAGGACGCCTGTGGTACAGTATTCAAAAACAAAATCACAAGATCACTTGGTTTTGAATCGCAAGCCATTGTATCTATATGCTCAAGCGATTGATGTTAAAACTTAAAGGTTAGGGAAGTATTTTAATAACTGCTGAAAAGATTGAAAATAAGAATTTATCTCATCTAAAGTACAAAGCATGTAATATCATTTTTCTGGCAGTCTTAGCAGAAATTTTGAATTCTCTTAATTATGTGAATTTTAACCAGAACTTGTCTACCCCTGCTTCTTTGTAAAATATTTGGTATTTTGCATTAAAAAAAAAAGGAAGAAGAAGAATTATTATACACTGTTGCTCTGTCATGGTGCAGGGTTTAAGAATTCTGTTGCTAAGCAGAAGGTCGGTGGTTCAAACCCACCAGCCTCTGTGCAAGAGAAAGATGGGGCAGTCTGCTTCTGGAAAGATTTACAACCTTTGGAACCCTTTGGGGGCAGTTCCACTCTGTCCTGTAGGGTCCCTGTGAGTCAGAATGACTAGATGGCAGTGGGTGTTTCATTGCTTTGTCAGGATTAATACTGTGATGTTAAGATGCTCTATTTGCAGTCCTTGGTTCACCATTTCTGAAATGTAAGCTGAAGTTGGTGCCTTCTTAGGGAGGGAAGATTACTATTAATGTAGATACGCTGGGCTATTTACCTTGGTAATGCACTCTTTTTTCCTTATGAAGTTTAAATACATTTCTTACCCATTTAGAATATGAATTCTTGGAAGTAAGATTGCGATCTTTTAAAAAATTACTTGAATTTTCCACCCTTTCTACAATGCTTGCATATGATACGTTTTTGATATTAACTGGTAAAAATCCGTTCGTGTATTTTTGTGACTAGTCTGTGTATGACCAGAATATTAGTGTGAAGAATATTGCTACATCTTTTTCTCAATTTGGTTGAATATTATTTGCTCTCTAGAAGGTTACAGTGAAATTAGGGGTAATAAAACTAATATGTAAATGAAATAATACATCAACAGAGCGACTGTATTACATGCCTGATACTGTGATAATGCATTAATTATCCCTCGTATCCTAAAGATTCACTGGGTTGTTTTTTTTTTTTTAAAGAAAACAGTGGTAAGAGTAGCTCAGTGAAGAAACATTGTTTTTCCTTTTCTCTTTTAGGATATTAGAAATGGCTACTCCCCAGTCAGTTTTCATCTTTGCAATCTGCATTTTAATGATAACAGAATTAATTCTGGCTTCAAAAAGTTACTATGATATCTTAGGAGTGCCAAAATCCGCATCGGAACGACAAATCAAGAAGGCCTTTCACAAGCTGGCCATGAAGTACCACCCTGACAAAAATAAGAGCCCTGATGCTGAAGCAAAATTCAGAGAGATTGCAGAAGGTAAATAAATGGCTGATTATCTCTGAGGTCTCTCAGGTATTAACTAGTCTAGGAGAATGAATGATAGCTAAGAAGTGTGTATGTGTTTGAAGGTTTTGTAGTCCAAGAAGCATTTTGGAGAGGGAGTGGGATCTTTGTTTCACTAAAGGGAGATTCTCTAAGACTGTTTTCTTATAACAGATATTTGTTTCTTGAATAGGTGAATGATAGTAGATAATTTTATTGGTATACAAATTGGAAAATACTAAAAATGTATTACTTAATTTTTTCATTTATAAAATTGCTTTTTTATGTGAAAATGAATTTTGAGGCCCAGAACTCACCTAAGAACTAACTTATGAAACACAATGCTTTACCTTTACGTAGGGAGAGTAAGTACAAATTTAAATAGATTCTGAAATGCCGGTGAGTTGTGTTCTCCTACTTGATAAGCATTAAAGGAAAATTTTTACTTAAGGCAAGTTCTGAAACAAGCAGCATCTCCTGATCACTCAGCAGTTAATGGTTGGTG